TATCCGGTTATTCTCGAATGGGCCACTCTTCTGCACGATAACTGTTCGTAAGCGGCATTGCCTTTGATCAATTATCGGATAGGAAGAAACGAAATTTGACCTCTGACGAGTTTAAACGACACTTAAGAATACACATGAGTTGTTATACTAACGTTTACACTACTGAGGACTCTTTACATGCGAACAATTATAATTTACTAATATGTTAAAAATTTTACTAATAAAAAGTTCGTATGTGTTGAAGGTTCTGGGGTATCAATTTGTTGTCCCTCACAGTCCTCTTACCAGAAGACCATCGTCTTCCCCACTCCGTGGCGAGACCCTTCGCGAACAATGTTCTTATTTTTAAAGCAATGCAACGTCGGTTTGCATGTTTTGTAAATCCTTATATGTGATCTTTTTTAGGTGTCTTATATTTAATAGATATAGTAAAGACATAATAAAGTGTGGATGTATGTACATATGTATTAATTATTTATAGAGGACGTAATTATGTATGTATATGTCATATGCATGTGTAGAATTTCTTATTAAGTAACTAAATATACACCGAATTATACCGTGTTTGGTCTTATTTTAATCAGAAAAAAAAAATGGATATGTCAGTAAAATTTTTATCAGCAAAACACAAAAAACAAAAATGTTTTTCTTTTGTATTAGTGTTGTCTCACCGATATGTAGGTGTTTGATATTTTAGGACTGGCTCGACTTTCAATACCTCTCTCTTCTTTGTCTGCTGTCTCTTTCTGCGTCCGTCGGTGCCGGTAAAATACAAAGAGTTTGAGAAACCTACTACCTTTTGCGTAGCTGTTCCACAGCGGTCCCGACTTTGGAACTCTTATAGAACTTTTACTGTACCAGTATATTACCAAGTTATAATTTCTTTACTTTATATATCGAAAGGAATTTAGAAATGCTAGTATATTATTGAATTATAATTATTTTATATTGGATATTAAAAGATAATTTAAAAATGCTAGTGTATTGTTGAATTACAATTGCTTTACTTTATGTATTGAAAGGAATTTAGAAATGCTAGTGTATTATTGAATTATAATTGCTTTATTTTATTATATATATTGAAAAGAATATAA